TCCACTATCAGCACTAACGGACACATACGAGGAGACTGGCACTCCGTTAACAGAGGAGTCCTCCAGGATGTAAGAAACACGGGCGTTCTGGTTCCAGTCAGCGTCTCTGGCTTTCACTGTGAATATAGAGAGACCTGGTGTGTTGTTTTCTACAATATAGGCCTCATATGAGCTTCTCTCAAATACAGGTGCGTTATCATTTACATCCGAGATCTGTAAGGTGAGAGTGACGCTGCTGGAGAGGGAGGGGACTCCTTCATCGGAGCAGGTCACAGTTATATTATAATCAGACGCTTTCTCTCTGTCAATTTCACTATCTGTCACTAAACTATAGAAGTTATTTGAAGTCGATTTCAAAACAAAAGGAGTATTGTCATTTATAAAACATTGAACTTTTCCATTTTCTCCTGCGTCTGGGTCTTGAATGTTAATTATTGTAACGACTGTGTTGGTGTTTGCACTCTCTGATATAATAGCGGATTTAGACATTATTTTAATCACTGGTTCGTTGTCATTTATATCAACGACATCAACAACCACTTTACAAGAATCAGTTAACCCCCCATTATCCATTGCGCGTAGATTGATATGAAAATTTCGTTTCTTTTCGTAATCTAATTGTCCAGTCAAACTAACTTCGCCACTGTCCTCATTAACTTCAAACATGTGTCTAACGTCATCCAAAGTGTTTGTGATTGAGTATGTTACTTTGCCATTTAATTTACTATCAGCATCTGAAGCACTGACAGTGGTCACGATCGTGCCCTTTGCAGCGTTTTCGGCCACACTGCCCTTATATATGGGCTGTGTGAAAACAGGTGCATTGTCATTGACATCTAAAACTGTGATGAGGATCTGCATTGCTCCCGACATCTGTGGTTCTCCTCCATCTACAGCGGTCAGCGCCAAAGATATCTTCTCGTTTATCTCTCTATCCAAAGGTTTTTGTAAGACCATTTCAACGTTCTTTGCACCATCGGCTTGGTTGTGCAATTTAAGTAAGAAATTATCACTTGGCTGTAGAACATATTTTTGTAGACTATTTAAACCAACATCTAAATCAACTGCTCTTTCCAAATCAAATTTTGCCCCGACAACTGCAGACTCGCTTATTATGAACTTAATTTCGTTTTTTTCAAAGGTTGGTGCATTATCGTTTATATCTGTAATATCAACTGATACGCTGTAAAATTCCATAGGATTCTCTAACACAATCTGAAAATGCACAGCACACGGTGTCGTATCAGCGCACAACGCCTCTCTGTCTATTTTCTCTTTGATAAGGAGGACTCCTCTTTCGCGATTCAACTCGATGTACTCTCTGCTATCACCAGAATAAACACGAGCGTTACCCAACCTCAGTCGTTTAACATCCAAACCTAAATCCTGAGCTATATTACCGACTAGAGAGCCTTTCGCCATCTCCTCCGGAATCGAGTAGCTGGCCTGGCCATATACTGCACTAAAATAGAGGATCGGGATAAACAACAGTACTTGCCGTCTCATTGTTTGAAATAATATCGGCACGATGAAACAGCGATCTTGAAATATCCGTCAAAAAGATGAAAACTCATTCAAATAAAAACAAGGAAAAAAATTATGTCCAAATTTAAAGCAAAAGCGAGAACGTTGTGTCTTGCAGTGCATAGATCCCTCAACAGAAGAGAATGCGATCTGCGTCCGCCCCTTCTCTCTAATACAACTAAATGAAGACGCGGTACTGCTGTAAATGTCCGTTGACTGCGACACACTAGGCAACAGCGGCCCATCGAGTTGAGAAAGTAAAACTGCAAACCATGTTTGGTGATATAAATAGGACAAAAAAACATCAAATTTGGAATTACATTCCACAAAAATAAAATGAAGTGGACTTGAAATACATTCTAAAAATATGGTAAAGTATTTTTAAATACACAAAGTACACGGTGGTGCTTTTCTATAATAAAAAAGATGATATCATGCATATAAAAGAAAAGGATTTTGCTCTCCATGGTGCTGAAGAATGAACCACCAAATATATTAAACAAAATGCAAGACGATTAGAACATTGCACAAGTTAAGGAGTACGGATGTGATGAATCACCGTTCTAACCTCAAGAGGAGAGTCTGGTTCATCCAGGATGTTCTTCTCACTCTGTATCCGCTGCATCGTCCCTGTAGAACTGGGGTCCATTATCAGCACGTTCTGACTACCGACTGTGCCGAACTTATAGTCACTCTTTCAGGAGTCATTCGTCCTGCACACCTCGTAGTTGTACACGTGTGGGAGAGTCCCTGTCCCCAGAGTGTCTGAGTAACGTGGTGGATAATACGGAATCACAGGGAGATTGGAGTGATACAGGACGCGAGACTGTCTCCACCTGTAGATCTTCACCGATATAATAACCACTAAACACGTGATGAAGAGGAAGGAAACTACAGCCAAAGCCAACACTAGGTAGAAGGTCAGGTTGTCATTGTACTCCTTGTCTTGTGTGTCAGTGAACTCAGACAGCACTTCAGGGAAGCTGTCCGCCACCGCCACGTTAACAATGACTGTAGCTGAACGAGAGGGCTGCCCGTTGTCCTCCACTATCACAGTCAGTCTTTGTTTCACAGCATCTTTATCAGTGACTCCGCGGATAGTTCTTATATCTCCGTTCTGTAAGCCCACTTCAAACAGCGCCCTGTTTGTGGCTTTCTGCAGTTTATAGGAGAGCCAGGCGTTCTGTCCAGAGTCCACATCAACAGCCACCACTTTAGTGACCAGATAGCCCACATCTGCTGAACGAGGAACCATCTCAGCCACCAGAGAGCCTCCAGTCTGCACCGGGTACAGAACCTGAGGAGGGTTGTCGTTCTGGTCCTGGATCATTACTTTCACAGTCACGTTGCTACTGAGTGGAGGGGAGCCTCCATCCTGCGCTTTGACGTGGAAGTGGAAATCTTTGATCTGCTCGTAGTCAAAAGAGCGCACAGCATGGATGACTCCACTATCAGCACTAACGGACACATACGAGGAGACTGGCACTCCGTTAACAGAGGAGTCCTCCAGTATGTAAGAAACACGGGCATTCTGGTTCCAGTCAACGTCTGTGGCTTTTACTGTGAATATAGAGAGTCCTGGTGTGTTGTTTTCTACAATATAGGCCTCGTATGAGGTTCGCTCAAAGTCAGGCGCGTTATCATTAACATCGGAGATCTGTATATTTAGAGTGACGCTACTAGAGAGGGAGGGGACTCCTTCATCAGAGCACATCACCGTTATATTATACTCAGAGGATTTCTCTCTGTCTAATTCACCGTCAGTTACTAAACTGTAGAATTTTTTTGATGTCGATATTATCGTTAAAGGGGTGTTGTTGTTGATGAAACAGTGAACCTTTCCGTTTTCGCTTGAATCAGGGTCTTGAACGTTAATCATAGCTACAACAGTGCTCATCTTAGAGTGCTCAGATATCATGTTTAATTTTGACATTATATTTATTGCTGGTTTATTGTCGTTTATATCCACCACTTCTACTATGACTTTGCATGAATCTGTAAGTCCACCATCGTCACTTGCACGTATATTAATATGGTAATTTTGCATTTTTTCATAATCAATATTTCCAATCAATCGAATTTCACCACTGTCTTCATGGATCTGAAACAATGCGTGTGCTTGATCTAAACTGTTAGTAATTGAATACTTAATTCTGCAATTCGTTCCATAATCTGCGTCGGACGCAGCCACGCCTGTAACAATTGTCCCAATTGGTGCATTTTCTAAGACTGTGGCGGTGTACGTTGACTGTGTAAAAACAGGAGCGTTATCATTGGCATCTAAAACTGTGATGGAAATCCTAATTGTCCCTGACATTTGGGGGTCTCCTCCATCAAACGCTGTTAAAACTAAAGAAATGATATCTTCCTTCTCTCTGTCGAGGTGCTTCTGCAAAACCATTTCCACTTTTTCTGTTCCATCCCCCTGACTATTTCGTTTGAGTATAAAATTATCGGTAGGTTTCAGCTCGTAGTTTTGAAGACCATTTTTGCCGACATCGAGATCTATTGCTCTATCTAATCCGAATGTTGCTCCAATTACAGCAGATTCGCTTATTTTAAAACTGACTTCGTTCTTTTCAAAGGTCGGGGGACTGTCATTTATATCTGTTATTTCCACTGTGATGCTGTAGAACTCCATCGGATTCTCCAAAATAATCTGGAAATGTAAAGCACAAGGCGTAGTCTGTCTGCAAATCGCTTCTCTGTCTATTCTGTCTTTGATAAGTAGGACTCCTCGTTCTGTATTTAGCTCGATGTATCCCACCCCGTCTCCTGTGTACACCCGAGCTTTGCCTGATTTCACTCGTTTAATATCTAATCCCAAATCTTGAGCAATATTGCCGACTAAAGAGCCACTCGACATTTCCTCCGGGATCGAGTAGCTGATTTGGCCGAGCACTGTACTTAGATGAAGGACCAGAGAAAACAACAGTACTTGCCGTCTCATTGTTCTGCTCGATATTTCCTCGCAAAATTCAATGTGACAAATTATCTTCCAAATTGCCCGGATTTTTATGGTCCATAATATTTTCCGAAAAGCAAGTGAACGGTATCAATCCATAATAGTCCACATCCGTTAGGAAAAGGTATTTCTTTTACTACATTGGTTAAAAACGTTGCCGACGGTGTAACCATGTGAATGGCTTTCGGTGTCTGATAGACATTATGGGGAGGTTTCTTTTCATACCCAGCGTGAAACATTGACACACTGGCCAACAGCGGCCCTATGAGTGCACAGCATTGAATTACACGACACACAATAAAATTAAAGTTCTGCATATTTAAATGTTCCATAATTAAAAGCCTTAAAAGTTGATTGACGAATGCTAAATGCAAAAATAAAGGACTTTCCTTCACACTAGTGTGGAGAATATTATAGATGTAATCATGAACGGTGAAAATAAAATACTATGATGTACGGATGAAAAAATGAATTCAAGTAATCAGTAAAACAAACACGTGACAGCCAAACATTTGGTTAAGCTATGTAATGTTTGCCAAAAGTAGACACATAGGTATAAGGGTAGAAAGACAAATTAGACAGAGAGACAGAAAGATACAGAGAGATGGGTGGATAGATTTATAGGAAGAAAAAAAATGAAATAAATAGTTTATAGAAATAATGTACAATCATCGGTTGCAGGATCAATAAGAGCTCATAACCAGACCTAACCACCCGCAAGCATAAAAAACAAAAAAATACTCAATGCTGCAGCTGCAAATGATTAAAAAGGTTCAGGGCAAAAGTAACACCAGTGCCTCTGTCCATGGTGCTAGTTGCAAACCCATGAAAATGGGACAGGGTAAGGACTTCCTCAGTTGTAAGAAACATGCAAATGTGTTAAAATGTGTTATTATACCAAATGACCAACCTCTAGAGGAGAGTCTGGTTCATCCAGGATGTTCTTCTCACTCTGTATCCGCTGCATCGTCCCTGTAGAACTGGGGTCCATTATCAGCACGTTCTGACTACCGACTGTGCCGAACTTACAGTCACTCTTTCTGGAGTCATTCGTCCTGCACACCTCGTAGTTGTACACGTGTGGGAGAGTCCCTGTCCCCAAAGTGTCTGAGTAACGTGGTGGATAATACGGAATCACAGGGAGATTGGAGTGATAGAGGACGCGAGACTGTCTCCATCTGTAGATCTTCACTGATATAATAACCACTAAACACGTGATGAAGAGGAAGGAAACTACAGCCAAAGCCAACCCTAGTAGAAGGTCAGGTTGTCATTGTACTCCTTGTCTTGTGTGTAGTCAGTGAACTCAGACAGCACTTCAGGGAAGCTGTCCGCCACCGCCACGTTAACAATGACTGTAGCTGAACGAGAGGGCTGCCCGTTGTCCTCCACTATCACAGTCAGTCTTTGTTTCACAGCATCTTTATCAGTGACTCCGCGGATAGTTCTTATTTCTCCATTCTGTAAGCCCACTTCAAACAGCGCCCTGTCTGTGGCTTTCTGCAGTTTATAGGAGAGCCAGGCGTTCTGTCCAGAGTCCACGTCAACAGCCACCACTTTAGTGACCAGATAGCCCACATCTGCTGAACGAGGAACCATCTCAGCCACCAGAGAGCCTCCCGTCTGCACCGGGTACAGAACCTGAGGAGGGTTGTCGTTCTGGTCCTGGATCAGCACTTTCACGGTCACGTTGCTACTGAGTGGAGGGGAGCCTCCATCCTGCGCTTTGACTCGGAAGTGGAAATCTTTGATCTGCTCGTAGTCAAAAGAGCGCACTGCATGGATGACTCCACTATCAGCACTAACGGACACATACGAGGAGACTGGCACTCCGTTAACAGAGGAGTCCTCCAGTATGTAAGAAACACGGGCGTTCTGGTTCCAGTCAGCGTCTCTGGCTTTCACTGTGAATATAGAGAGACCTGGTGTGTTGTTTTCTACAATATAGGCCTCGTATGTGCTTCTCTCAAAGACAGGCGCGTTATCATTAACATCAGAGATCTTTAAGGTGAGAGTGACGCTGCTGGAGAGGGAGGGGACTCCTTCATCAGAGCAGGTCACAGTTATATTATAATGAGAAGCGACCTCTCTGTCTAAATCATCTACTGTAACTAAAGTATAAAATCCATTTAAAGTAGTTTGAATTTTGAAGGGATTGTTACCGTCTATATTACAATCTATTTCACCATTACTTGCTGAATCTGGATCATTTACACTTAACATAGCTAAAACAGTATTTGGAGAAGAATCCTCGAATATGGACTCGGATTTTGAAATAATATTTATCTGAGGAGTATTGTCATTTACATCAATAACATCAACTAATACTTTCGTGGAATCGGAGAGTCCCCCACTGTCCACAACTTCAATATCGATTTGATACATTTTTGCCTTTTCGTAATCTAATTCACCGACAAGAAGAATTTTCCCTGTTTTTGAATCAATGTTAAATAGTTCGGATAAAATACGTTTGCTGGAAGATATTAGATATGACAATTCTCCGTTAATGCCGATGTCTTTATCAGAAGCGCTTACAGTCGTTACGCTGGTGCCTTTGGGGGAATTCTCAAGTATTTTTGCTCTATACAGTGGTTTTGCGAATGTAGGTGCGTTGTCATTCGCATCCAAAACATTTACAAATATTTTCAATGTCCCTGACATTTGCGGCTCTCCTCCATCCACTGCAGTTAACAGCAGCGAAATGAACGCCTGCTTTTCTCTATCAAGAGGTTTTTGTAGAACCATCTCGACCTTCTTACTGTCATCTGCCTGATTTTCGATTTTTATTACAAAGTTATCAGTGGGCGCAAGTGAATATCTTTGTAAACCATTCATTCCGATGTCCAAATCGATGGCTTTCTCCAACACAAATTTCGATCCAATGACAGCGGACTCGCTGATTTCAAGGCGTTTTTCTGCATTCGTAAAAGTAGGTGTATTATCGTTTATGTCGGTGATCTCCACTGTTACACGAAACAGCTCCATTGGATTTTCCAGAATCAACTGGAAATGCAAAGCACAAGGTGTTGTCTCTCCGCATAAAGCCTCTCTGTCTATCCTCTCTTGGATAAAAAGGACCCCTCTTTCTTTATTCAGCCCGATATATTCAACGCTTCCTCCCGTATACACACGAGCTTTACCTGATTTCAGCCTATTAAGATCCAAACCTAAATCTTGCGCTATGTTACCAACGACAGAGCCTTTCGCCATTTCTTCGGGTATGGAATAGCTGACCTGCCCGAGCACGTAGCTGAGACATAGCACCGAGAGAAGCAACAGTACTTGCCGTCTCATTGTTCTGTCCGTAGTGGTCTCCTGCACCATTACATTGAAAGCTTTTCCAAAGCAATCAATGTGAAATTTAAAAAAAAGGTCCACTCCAAGTAGTAGAAGCGAAAATTAATGTCCAGTGAGATATAAATTCCTCGCAGGTTTTTTGAGAACGCGCACCGTGTATGATGTCGTTGTCTGCTCATGTCCTGTGTATGTACACGTAGAGGCAGGACACTGCCGGAAAATTAGAAAAAATCTAGTTCAATTGCCACGCGCTTGCCGACAGCGACCCTCTGAGTTGAAAACACGGATTACAAAAGAGAGAACAAGTTCAGTATAAAACAATGTTGATCAAGAGGAATTAAAATCAGAGAGTAGCTGCTTTTCATTTTAAACAGTGAAATTTCACGCAAGTACTGTTTTAAAGCTGTGACTATGTGTTTTTGAGTTATCATATACTTGAATAGGCGGCATGAAGTCAACAACAAAAACACTAAAACCCCCACACATCATTGTATTCACTTTTGTCAGCAGTGTTATTTACTGTGCGTGGTGTTTGTTATGAATAGTATGGCAACTCAGACATTTATTTATGTTCAATTCGTGTGCTGCAGGACAAGTTGATTTGAACATCGGTTAAAATAAAAATAAAATGAAATATTAAAGCTATCGAAATGGTCTAACCTCTACTGGAGAGTCTGGTTCATCCAGGATGTTCTTCTCATTCTGTATCCGCTGCATCGTTCCTGTAGAACTGGGGTCCATTATCAGCACGTTCTGACTACCGACTGTTCCGAACTTACAGTCACTCTTTCTGGAGTCATTCGTCCTGCACACCTCGTAGTTGTACACGTGTGGGAGAGTCCCTGTCCCCAGAGTGTCTGAGTAACGTGGTGAATAATACGGAATCACAGGGAGATTGGAGTGATGCAGGACGCGAGACTGTCTCCATCTGTATATCTTCACTGATATAATAACCACTAAACAAGTGATGAAGAGGAAAGAAACTACAGCCAAAGCCAACACTAAGTAGAAGGTCAGGTTGTCATTGTACTCCTTGTCTTGTGTGTAGTCAGTGAACTCAGACAGCACTTCAGGGAAGCTGTCCGCCACCGCCACGTTAACAATGACTGTAGCTGAACGAGAGGGCTGCCCGTTGTCCTCCACTATCACAGTCAGTCTTTGTTTCACAGCATCTTTATCAGTGACTCCGCGGATAGTTCTTATTTCTCCATTCTGTAAGCCCACTTCAAACAGCGCCCTGTCTGTGGCTTTCTGCAGTTTATAGGAGAGCCAGGCGTTCTGTCCAGAGTCCACATCAACAGCCACCACTTTAGTGACCAGATAGCCCACATCTGCTGAACGAGGAACCATCTCAGCCACCAGAGAGCCTCCAGTCTGCACCGGGTACAGCACCTGGGGAGGGTTGTCGTTCTGGTCCTGAATCATTACTTTCACAGTCACGTTGCTACTGAGTGGAGGGGAGCCTCCATCTTGCGCTTTGACGCGGAAGTGGAAATCTTTGATCTGCTCGTAGTCAAAAGAGCGCACTGCATGGATGACTCCACTATCAGCACTAACGGACACATACGAGGAGACTGGCTCTCCGTTAACAGAGGAGTCCTCCAGTATGTAAGAAACACGGGCGTTCTGGTTCCAGTCAGCGTCTGTGGCTTTCACTGTGAATATAGAGAGACCTGGTGTGTTGTTTTCTACAATATAGGCCTCGTATGAGGTTCGCTCAAAGACAGGCGCGTTATCATTAACATCAGAGATCTGTAAGGTGAGAGTGACGCTGCTGGAGAGGGAGGGGACTCCTTCATCGGAGCAAGTCACAGTTATATTATACTCAGAGGACCTTTCTCTGTCTAATTCACTGTCAGTTACTAGACTGAAGAATTTTTTGGAGGATGTTTTCATTAGGAAAGGCAGGTTTTCTTCGATGTTACATAAGACTTTACCATTTTCCCCAGAGTCAGGATCTTCGACGTTAAATATAGTAACCACAGTGCCTGGCCCTGAGTTTTCCGATATTGAATTAGTTTTAGACATTATATTAATTGATGGATGATTATCGTTCGTATCGGACACCTCAACAATAATCTTACATGAATCTGTGAGTCCTCCATCATCACTAGCTTGTACATGTATTTCATAGTGCTGTGCCTTTTCATAATCCAGGTTTCCAATTAAAGCTACAACGCCATTTTCTTCGTCGACTTGAAACATAACAGGCACGTCATCCAACGTATTTGTTATGGAATACGACACCTTTCCATTCGACCCTTGATCTGCATCTGAAGCACTAACTGTACTCAATATTGTGCCCTTCGGAGCAGTTTCTATTATATTAACCTTATACACTTCCTGCGTAAATACGGGGGCATTGTCATTTACATCTAGCACGGCAATTTCAATTTGCATTGTTCCCGACAGCTGAGGCTCTCCACCATCGGTAGCGGTGAGAGTTAAATCGAGGTGGTCTCGATCCTCTCTGTCAAGCGGTTTTTGCAAAACAATTTCTACCTTTTTACTCCCGTCTTGTTGATTTTGGAGCTTCAAATGAAAATTGTCTGTAGGATTTAAGGAATAACCCTGCAATCCGTTCACAGTAACGTCCAGATCCATAGCCCTTTCTAGCACAAATTTCGCTCCAATCACAGCCGACTCACTGATCCTAAATTTCATCTCATCCTTTTTGAAGCTGGGTGCATTATCGTTAATGTCATTAATTTCGATAGTAACAGAAAAGAATTCTATCGGATCTTCCAGCGTTATTTGAAGATGTAAAGCGCAAGGTGTTGTCTGTCCACAGAGCGCCTCTCTGTCGATTCTCTCTTTCAAAAGCAGGACTCCTCTCTCTTTATTCAGCTCGATGTATTCTGCATTGTCGCCTGTATATATGCGAGCTTTACCAGCCTTCAGTCTTTTCACGTCCAATCCTAAATCCTGCGCTATGTTGCCAACTAAAGAGCCTTTTGACATTTCCTCCGGAATGGAATAAGTGACCTGCCCGAACACTGAGCACAGGGAAAGTAGCGAGATAAACAATAGTACTTGCCGTCTCATTGTCCTGTTCGACATTTTAAATTCGATAAAACACTGCAGACCTAAAAACATATATTCCAAAGCGATAAGGTCCCTTTGTGACGAACTCCAAATGATGATGTAATTTCGTTGTGTTTCTTGAATAAAAAAGAACCCGAATGAATTGCAGCGCGGATACCTCCCAGTGTCTGCTACGGAGCTTATGGGTGTCTCTTTCTCTGTTTAATATATTACATTATGTGGTTGGGCTGCGCGTTGGCCTACAGCGGCCCGGAGAGTCCAAACACTTGCACTGCAGATACCCGTAATAAGCAGAGGAGGTACAATATGAAGAAATTAAAAATACTTGAAGTCAATAGAAAGAAAGTCATGCTATGCCTTACTTTAAAAAAAAGAACTGCTCAACTATTATGCCTCATATGTTGGGAGCTCGGTTGTTGCAGTTGTCAAGTAATGTTATTTAATCAATAGTGTATTCTTTTTTTTTAGAACAAAACATAAAACACGTATTGGAGTTTAGCAGAGACTTACACTTTAAAATTATATCTGCAAAAAAAAATGTTAACTAAACTGTCACTTTCTATTTGAAGACAGATGTAATGGCATGAAGTAGTTTGAGAAAATTAGGTGACAGTGAACCTGATCAAAATATTCATACTATCTATAATTCACCCTTTTCTTTGCTGGAATAATATAATACTCCCTATCCACCAATGGGTAACACTTTCAATGTAAACAGATTATTTTTTAACATTTACTGACAATTTTTGTGTTCACTCTCTGCAAACGTCCTTTGAAATTGACTTATTAATTTACGTGCTAAACTTTTTGTTTATTAACAATAGCTCTGTCCAATTCTTAAGGCACGTATTTAGACAAAGTTAGAGCAGGAACTCAGGCAGAGTGAGTTAGTCTGTTGAATTAAAACATACGTACAGCATGACAGCCATGTGTGGACTATTGATCAGATTGCTCAATAAAGCTTTCAATTGATTGCTGTTATTCTTGGTGAGAAATGTACTCAACAAGAGGTGGAAAATGCCTGCATGTGCTCTAAAAAATGATGCTGGTGGATGTATTGTTTGCTAGTTTCTTCAACACATGCAGCCAGTTCAATCTACTGCAAGTAGGGGTTGTATCAAAATAACAAATAGAATGCAAAGTTCAACCTGTAAACCCCATTTCAGTAACTCCCTGAGTGGATTTCACACTGTTTGTGCTTTATAACTTAAACACGTGGATTCAATGTTTTACTGCAATATTTAACAGTGTGCTTTTTTGATTTTAAACAAAACAAAAACAAATAAGTGGTCATCAAGTACAAGACAATTTAAATATGGAGTTGCACAGTAAGCAAAATAACTGTGATTCTTTTGCCATCATTATTTGGGGAGTCAATTTCTTCTGGTGTACACTGCACAACAGACTCGAAAAACATATCCTCTACCCAATCTTTAGCAACAGCAATATGCCATGGTATTAAATGACATAAATACAACAAGCAATATTTGAATTAACACCATAAATGTGCATTTAAAAACTAAATAGTGCTAATGCACTAACAAAATTAAAAAATAGTCAAACCAATGCATTGAATTACAAATGTTGTAGTAGGAAGTCCGGAACAAATGTGACAAGTAAACATAAACTGTGATTTGTGTGTGAGCATCACCTGTATGCACTCTAACAACGTCCACCAGCTGCTCAAATTCTTTACATAATGTAGTTGTTGTCTTGCAAAAAGACATCAAGTGGCAATCTTTTAGTTCTAAATGCTGTTAAAAAACTAACCCATGGCATGTTTTAAGAGAGACAGTGAACCACAAAGTAACCAATTAACCAGATATTGAAAAATAATGAAAAGGACTGGATGATCTACAACTACTATAACATTTTTTTGCATGACTTGACTGTCTAAACGTAATTAATCCACGTTACTCAGTTTCCACTGGATAACTGGACATATAAGGAAACAACAGAAAGCATATGAATGCATAAATCATGAGATTTCTGAGAGGTCCAAGCTTAGTGAGCAACATAATGAATAAATAAAAAACTGGAATATTTTGTCAAATCACAACTAACCTCGAGAGGAGAGAGAGAGAGAGAGAGAGAGATAGAAAAAGAGAGAATGAGGGAGGAAGTGTGTGATTTTGTACTGCTTCTGTCCAAGGTGCTGAAAGATGCCGGCAGCAATTAGACATCTCAAAATGCAGCTTTAAAAAACAAAATGACAAAAATTCAAACCTCTAGAGGAGAGTCTGGTTCATCCAGGATGTTCTTCTCACTCTGTATCCGCTGCATCGTTCCTGTAGAACTGGGGTCCATTATCAGCACGTTCTGACTACCGACTGTTCCGAACTTACAGTCACTCTTTCTGGAGTCATTCGTCCTGCACACCTCGTAGTTGTACACGTGTGGGAGAGTCCCTGCTGTCCCTAAAGTGTCTGAGTAACGTGGTGGATAATACGGAATCACAGGGAGA